TAAAAGAAACATCATATTAGAAGAGATATGCAGACATAACTTCAGAGAAGAAAATGCATAATTCTAGCTTAAAAAACAAAACCTCAAAAATGCAATCCACATTAAACCATGAAAGGGGCAAGCAAGACGTCCACCCTTCCCTTCTCTTTTGTCTCAGAGACAGAGGAAGCTAACTCCACTGACATCATCTGTTTCCTGCATCTTTCTCCCGCACATCCTTCCTCCATCACAGAACTCTGAGTGGTAAGTGGCAACACCTGGCAGGCTTCTCTTTCTGCTATGGAGGTGACATCACATGTGAGGGCAAGTATAGCTCAGTTGGTCAAGGTCTAGTTTAGGTGTGATGTAAAACACGGGATGAGGAGGCATTTCGGAGGTATCAGCCTGCACAGTCCAGTAAGACAGAGTCGAGTATGTTTAAAAGGCATCAGAAGCTACTTCACACTCACCCCCCCAGCCAGAACATTTCCAAGTGCCTCTAGCCTACCTTAATCAGGTATGCATAACCAATATATACATTTCTCCAGGAAAAAAAAAATTATGGAAACCTAACCCTCAGTTCTATTTCTTATAACAAGGTTCCCCAAAGGTTGAAATTATCACCAATCACTTCACACTTTACCTGGCTGATCGAAAATCTGCAGCCACTGCCACCTACCCTTTTGAACAGTTCCAGCAATTTCTGGAAAAGAGGAAAAGCAGCCAACCTCCCTAACTCCAAATTCTCACTAAGGAGGAGAATGGGCATATAATGGCTTTCTCCAAATTCCCTCATCAGCAATTAATGATGGTACACCCTTAACTTTTTCCACACCCTGTGATTATAAAACCTTAGGAAATAAAAAACGGCTTCTTTTCACAGGAATGTTAGGAGCTGATAACGGGTTGGCTCTGTGTCCCCACTCAAATCTTACATGGAATTATAATCTCCAACGTTGGGGGAGAGACCTTATGGGAGGTGATTTGATCATGGGGGCAGATTTCCCCTTACTGTTCTTGTGATAATAAGTTCTCACAAAATCGGTCTGTTTAAAGGGATGTAGCATTTCCCCCTTCACTCTCTCTCTCTCTCTCTCTCCTGCCAACATACAAATACTGTGCCTGATCCTCTTCGCCTTCTGCCATGATTGTTAAGTTTCCTCCTGTATAGCCTGTGGAACTGTGAGTCAACTAAATCTTTTTTCTCCGTAAATTGCCCAGTCTCCAGTATGTCTTTACAGCAGTGTGAGAATGGACTAATAGAGAAAATTGGTACTAACCGTAGAGCACTGCTATAAAGATATCTGAAAACGTAGAAGCAACTTTGAAACTGGGTAACGGGCAGAGGTTGAAACAGTTTGGAGGGTTCAGAAGAAGACAGAAAGATGTGGGAAAGTTTGGAACTTCCTAGAGACTTGTTGAATAGTTGTGACCAAAATGCATGCTGACAGTGATATGGACAGTGAATTCCAGGCTGAGGAGGTCACAGATGGAAATGAGGAACTTATTGGGAATTGGAGTAAAGGTCACTCTTGCAATGCTTTACCAAATAGACTGGCAGCATTGTGCCACTGCTCAAGAGATCCGTGGAACTCTGAATTTATGAGAGATGATTTAGGATATCTGGTGAAAGAAATGTCTAAGCAGCAAAGTGTTCAAGATGTGCCTTGGCTGCTTCTATAAATCTATGTTCATTTGTATAAACAAATAAATGACCCAAAACTAGAACTTATATTTAAAAGGGAAGCAGAGTACAAAAGTTTGGAAAATTTGCAGCCCAACCATGTTGTAGAAAAGAAAAATCCATTTTCTGAGGAGGAATTCAAGGCTGCCAAAATTTGCATAAGTAAAGAAGAGCCAAATGTTAAGAGCCAAGAGAATGGGAAAAAATGCCTCCAGGGCATTTCAGAGACTTTTACAGAAGCCCCTCTCATCACATGCCTGGAGGCCTAAGAGGTTTGAGAAACCCACTCACTCATCCAAATCTGAACGATGGACTTAGAGACACAAAAAACAGTGGAAACAGGACTGTTAGTGGCAGTCTTGCAAGATCAGGTACTGGGTAGGCAGGCACACCTGGGGCAGTTACAGCAGGTAATTTCAGCAGGTAATTTATCTCATAGCATGCCAAGTCCCTCCCCCAGTTTCTCATTGGTTGAGTACTAAGGGGTTACAATCTTCCCTAACACTGCCTAAGTTTCATTATCCCTCTATAAAGTCATACCCTGGTCTCCTTCCCTGCTTAAGTTTCAATTTCCCAATAATCAAAACTTTCTTTCCTTTTACGTGCTGACCACCCCTCGACATCCTGTTCACTTATCCTGACTTTCTAGGTGCATGAGCCATGCAGTTTTTCACATCCACAGGCTGGCTGACAGTACTCAGATTTATTACGCCTTGAAAACAAATCATTAAAAATGTTTTCTCACAGAGGAAAAAATGGTTTCATGGGCCAGGCCTAGGGCCCCCACTGCTCTATGCAGCCTCAGTACATGGCACCCCACATCCCAGCCACTCCAGCTTCAGCTCTGGCTAAATGGCACCAAGGTACAGCTTGGGCTGTTGCTTTAGAGGGTGCAAGCCCCAAGGCTTGGCAGCTTCCACAAGGTGTTGGGCCTGTGGGTAAGCAGAAAGCCAAAGCTGAGGTGTGGGAACCTCTACCTAGATTTCAGAGAATATGAAAATGTCTGGATGTCCAGGCATAAGTCTGCTGTAGGGGCGAGCCTTCATGAAGAGCCTCTACTAGGGCAGTGCAGAGGAGAAATATGGGGTTGAAGCACCCCCCAGAGTCCCCACTTGGGCACTGTCTAGTGGAACTGTGGGAAGAGGGCCACTGCCCTTCAGACCCCAGAAAGGTAGATCCACCAACAGCTTGCACTGTGCACCTGGAAAACCTGCAGCCTGCGAAAGCAGCTGCAGGGGCTGCACACTCCAGAGCCACAGGGGTGGAGCTGCTCAAGGCCTTCGAAGCCCACCTCTTGTGTCAGTGTGTCCTGGATGTGAGACATGGACTCAAAGGAGATTATTTTGGAGCTTTAAGATGTAATGACTGCCCTGCTGGGTCTCAGACCTGCATGGGGACTGTAGCCCCTTTGTTTTGGTCAATTTCTCCCTTTTGGAATGGGAGCACTTACTCAATGCCTGTACCCTCCATTGTCTCTTGGAAGTAGCTAACTTATTTTTTTTATTTTACAGGCTCATAGGCAGAAGGGACTTGCTTTGTCTCAGATGAGACTTTGGCCTGACTTTTCAGTTAATGCTGGAATGAGTTAAGACTCATGGGAAGACATGATTGGTTTTGAAATGTGAGAAGGACATGAGATTTGGGAGGGAACAGGGGCAAAATGATGTGGTTGGGTTCTGTGTCCTGACCCAAATCTCATGTTACATTGTCATCTCCAATGTTGGGAGAGGTAACTGGTGGGAAGTGACTGGATCATGGGCAGATCTCCCTCTTGCTGTTCTCAAGACAGTGAGTGAGTTCTCTTGAGATCTGGTGGTTTAAAAGTGTGTGGCACGTCCCACTTTGCTCTCTCTCTCCTGCTTTGCCATGTGCAGATGTGCCTGCTTTCCCTTCACTTCCACCGTGATTGTAAGTTTCCTGAGACTTCCCTAGCCATGCCTTCTGTACAGCCTGCAGAACTTTAAGTCAATTAAACCTCTTTTCTCCATAAATTACCCAGTCTCAAGTATGTCTTTACGGCAGTGTGAGAATGGACTAATACAGAAATTCATGCCCATTCAGAAGGAGAAAGAGGCCATAATGACCAAAAAATTCCTTACAAAGAAACTACAGACCTGTTCTAGACACCCGGACACAAGCAGAAATGCCAAACCAATAGGAAGTACTCAGGTAACTATCAGTGCCAGGGTGGGAAACCCTCAGAGCCCTGGGAAAAGGGAAAGCAATCAGCCCCCAAATCACACAGTACATTACAACCAGATGGAACAAGAAGTTCTTTCAAGCTGTTGCTGGTGTCTTTGCCTTAAAAGATGGCCTTCTAACTGCAATCACCACAGTCAAATCACTTTAATCTATTCTTCTAAAAGGTTCCAAGTAACCTGAGCTCCTGAAATAAAAGGTCTGTCATCTGGTCCTTACTCACAAAAATTGTGATACTATACAATGTCTCCGACACCCCGATGGGATACCCCAAGCCTTGGGGAAGCCCATCCTGACTGCTTGGTCTTCACAGGCACCTCCAATATCAGCCACTTTCTAGACCTGTTTTGTTTCCTTCAAAGCACTGATCATCATCTGTACATGTCCACTACACTGTAAGTGCTGTGAAAACACAGGCCTCGTCAGGTTCACTCCTCTATCCCCAGTGTCTACAACACACCCAGACAAATTATAAGCATTCATGACCTCTTGCTGAAAGAAAGACAGAAGGGAAGGAGTGGCTCAAAGGGAATTATGTCTTTACAGCAACTCTGAGCATGTTTTCAATGTATAAGTCAATACACAATGTCTACAGTAATCCTAGAAATCATCGTTACACTCAGGGCTCCTCACCTTCTCTCCATCCTCATGAGGAAGAATTTCTTTCCATACATGTTCTCCACAGAATGCTTAAAAGATGGAGTAACAGGCAACTCCCTCATTGGTTCTCAGCCCAAAGTGCATAATATTTAAAATAATAAAATAGATTATCTTAGAAAAAGAGTAATGGTAGGCATCTGTAGCTTTTATTAACTTAATTGTAAGAAAAACAGAGAGAGAGAGAACGAGAAACACCGATGAAAGCCAATGCCTACGTCTGCATTAAAGATTAACATTTTATTTTTAAATTTAATGACTAATGACTTCTACATCATGCTCTTTTTTCTCAGTGGGACTCTTCTCCAGACCACATATACTTACTTTTAATCTCTCTTGGGAAAGGAGACATAGAAAATAATAGGATCATACTGGTTTAAGAGAAGGAAAGCTTATGTCCTGAAGAAATACGGGATTTTCTCCCCCACTTAGCTACAAGCCTGATCAAAAGCTCAAACCATCTCAGAGTTCATAAGGTTACCTTAGGCAGTGGGTAATGGATGTATTCTGCTCCACATCCACAGAAAGGTCAAGAAAATCTTCATCTTTGCTGCTAACCTGAAACAAAAAAAGGAAAAAATATATTAGGCATGAAATATGTAGTAGATAAAACTTTGAATGTGTACAGGTACCCATCGTCTGCAATAAAAACCATAACTACAGTTAAAGTCCTGCATGGACATGTATACTCACTGGCACCAAGTTACCTCAAAAACAACCCGATCTAGAGAAAATCTCAAATTCTCAATTTAACTTCCTCCCTATCCCAGTTTTGACTCACAGCTTTTAATAATTAAAACTCAACCAGATTTCTCTTCCTCTCCATTCATTTCTCCCACTGTTTCAAAGTAGGAACTATTAAACATCCATATAGCCCCGATTGCAGAGTGATAAAAATGGAAATGGAGAAAGGACAAGAGACATACAAAACCTACCACCCAGATGAACATGCCCTGTTGAGCTGTTACCACTTTTTGCCAGTCCGTTGAAATCACTCCCTTCCGCCCTTGTCCCATCATTCAAACTGTGTGGGGGGCCAGGGAGCCTGATAGGCAAGGGCTGGAGTCGCATTGACCACACATAAAGCTGTCCTTTGGTCAGGAAGTGGTCATCACATGCAGAGCGCTATGCTGTCCATGACAATGACCAGACCTGTCTGGTCTGAAGCCTGGGCTCACACAGGCCCGCCATACTGTGGACGGCTCTCAGCCGAGCTGGTTCAGTGCCCCAGCTGTCTCTCAGCTTTCAACAGCTCACTCCTCACTAATTCTGGATCTCATATATCTCAAGGCTCACTGAATAAGTGCTTACTTTCCATGAATTCACCAACAACCCTGGGGTTTTACCGTCTTGTTCCCAGAGTAGCAGGAACAGTTGGCAACAACCTTCAAGTGCTCAGTCAATTGGCAGCAAAATGAAAACAACATTCCTTTAAAAGTGTGACAACTACCCTATGACCCAAAATTCCATAAATTTACCTGAAGAAATATTCAGAGATGTGGATACACTCTTTTATACTTTTAGAAGTACACACAGGGGCTGGGTATGGTGGCTCATGCCCGTAATCCCAGCACTTTGAGAGGCTGAGGTGGGTGGATCACTTGAGGTGATATGGGGGACCCTACCATGTGGATATTTGCAAAGCAAATGCCACAATACGGATGGTTTTGATCCCAGACACAGAGACGCCTAAATAGGGGGAGTTAACATAAGCTGAGTCAGAAGCAGACAAAGGAGAATCTAGTTAAAAAAATATTCTAATAAGTAAAACCAAAAAACCTTTTCACATGTGAGTTCTAAAACAAGATCAAACCAGAAACACCTGCACTCATGAGAAACAATGTCTGGATGTAAATAAGCTTTATAATCACAGGAAATTCTATTACTTTTGCAACCACTGATTGTGTATCTAACTTCTCTATTGTATAGGCCATGTAAGGTATAGATTTGCATTTCCTCTTGCAATGACGTAAACCAAAGCCAAAAAAATGTATTTATTCCTGGCCTTTAAGAAAATAAACTTGCTGTTTAGGCACTGCCTATTCAGTCCTCCAGACCCCGCTTTCTGTCTCTCTTTTCTTCTGCGCACTCTCTCTTCCAGGTATTGGGACCCTCTTGCAAGTCGAAAAATCCCCGGCAAACGTGCCGTCCCGACTGTCCCCGACAAGGTGAGGAGTTTGAGACCACCCTGGCCAACATGATGAAACCCCATCTCTACTAAAACTACAAAAAATTAGCCAGGCGTGGTGGCACACACCTGTAATCCCAGCTACTAGGGAGGCTGAGGCAGGAGAATTGCTTGAACCTGTGAGGTGGAGGTTGCAGTGAGCTGAGATCATGCTACTGCACTCCAGCCTGGATGACAGAGCGAGATTCTGTTTCAAAAAAAAAAAAAAGACGTACATATGGGAATGGATACTGAGACACAAGAATGGGTATTGCCCAGATGCATATCCTGTCTCTGCCATTTATAAAGTCAATGGCTTCAGGCCAGATACTCAGCCTCTGTTTCCTTGTCTGTAAAGTGAGGACAGTAAGAGTATCTATCTCACAATGCTGTTGAAAGGAGGAAATAAGATAATATATATAAAGTGCTTTAAAAAGTAAGGACTCTAGGGGAGGGACAATGAGGGGTGGGTAGTTGGGGAGAGATAGCATGGGGAGAAATGCCAGATATAGGTGATGGGGAAGAAGGCAGCAAATCACACTGCCACGTGTGTACCTATGCAACAATCTTGCATGTTCTTCACATGTACCCCAAAATCTAAAATGCAATAAAAAAAAAAAAGGCAAAAAAAAAAAAAGTAAGGACTCAATAAATTACAAGGGGTAAAAAGTTTTAAGTGGCCTAAAATGGTCAAAAAGTTGGAAATGGCTTTCTCTATATTGTGGTTATCATCCTAAATGAAAAAGTAGGTTACAGGCCGGTGCAGTGGCTCATGCCTGTAATCCCAGCACTTTGGGAGGCCGAGGTGGGTGGATCACGAGGTCAAGAGATCAAGACCATCCTGGCCAACATGGTGAAACCCCGTCTCTACTAAAAATACAAAAAAAAAAAAAAAAAATTAGCTGAGCATGGTGGTGTGCGCCTGTAGTCCCAGCTACTGGGGAGGCTGAGGCAGGAGAACTGCTTGAACCTGGGAGGCGGAGGTTGCAGTGAGCCGAGGTCGTGCCACTGCACTCCAGCCTGACAGAGTGAGACTCTGTCTCCAAAAAAAAAAAAAAAAAAAAGTAGGTTACACAACTATATATAAGTTAATTCCAATTTCATATTAAAAAGGCATCTTTATACTTATATACACATATCTCCTCCCTTGGCATTCTCTACCATCCTGTTTTAATTTTTTAATGACATTTATTTTAATGGTGAGCCCCAAATCCTCACCATTGCTTCTATTGGCTTCTTTGTCATATGGCTTCACAGATACTCTCATTGAGAGGTGACTATGTTTTGCCACCCTAGATTCTGAGTGTGACCACGTGACTTGCCTTGGCCAGTGGGATGCTAGAAGGCAGGTTACCAGCAGAGGCCAGAACAAGCATTTGTAAAACTGCTCTCTTGCATCACTGTAAGAAGGATAAGCCCAGGTTAGCCTGCTATTCCCAGGAAGAGGAGAGATCCATGGAGGAGAGCTGTATTAAGGCACTGCAGCCAAGCCCAATCTAGAGTAGAGTAAAACCCCTCATGATCTTGCAGACATATGAGTAGGCCTGCTGAACTAGAAACACATGAGTTTAGTGGAGTCCAGCTTAGACCAGTCAACCCCTAGCCAACCCACTACTGCACAAATTATAATAATAAATGATAGCTTAAGGCTCAGTTTTGATATAGATAGATAACTGACACAACCAATAGATAGATACAGATAACTGATACAACCACTTATCCTTTTACAGGTTTTATTTCTGTATGTTTACTGTCTGTCTCCCCCTTACGAAAATGAAAGTTCAAAAGACCGGCTTCCATAGTAACTAAGATCCTAGCACACCAATACTCCTTCAGAAAACTAGAAACCTCTCCAGATAACTATAAACTCACATAACCAAAAACTAAAAGCAGCTAACTGAAGGCACTGGAGAGTAAACACAAAAAAGCACATGGGAGTCCACGCTTGGAGGAAGAGAGCTGTACAGAATGAGTTCATGGTTTCAAGGCCTTTGGCTGGGGATGTTGAGGGGGAAATACAGTCTTGCTGGTCTGCAAGCCAGAAGACTAAGTCTGGGAAACCATGTCCACTGGAAAGAAGGGAAAGTGTCTGAGAGGGTATCTCCAGCTCTGCCGACATCTGGCTGACCCCTGAACCACCCATGCATGGAATATACGCAAAGCGACTTGGCTATTAACAAAATGGCTGCCACCAAAGATTCAAGCTGTCACCCAAGAAACACAGTGTATAGTTTGGGTCCAACCAAGGTAAGTGCCTGTTAAAACTAAAGAAACTCAATATGTATTAAAGAAAAATAACAGAATCCAGAGTCTCTGCCGCTTAACATTGTCAATGTTCTAAATAAGATCTAAAGTTACAATATGTGACAAATGTCTTACCTAAGACATTCTTAAAAGAAAATAAACTGAGACCAACTTTGGGATGACCCAGATGTTGGAATTAGCAGACAAGGATTTTAAAGAGGCCATTATAACTATCATCAGTAAAATAAAACATATTCACAACGCATCAAAAAAATATGAAATCCCAGTAGAGAAACAGAAACAATAAAAAAAGAATCAAATAGAAATTCTGGAACTGAAAAACACAATGCATTGAATGAATTTAACAGCAAAGTGGAGATGACAGAGGAAAGAACGAACAAGTGAATCTGAAGACAGATCAATGGAAATTATCCAATGAGGACTAAAGAAAAAAGACTGAAAAATTAACAGATCCTCAAGACTCTTTTAGATAATATTATACATATAATCAGAGTCCCAGAAAGGGAGGAAAGGGAGAATAGGGCAGTAGAACTATTAGAGAAAATAATGGCTGAATATTTCCCAAATTTCATGAAAGACATCCATTAACAGATTCAAGATACTCAACCAACACCAAGCAGGGTAAATACAAAGAAGGTCAGACAAGGTGCCTCACAGGCAAACTGTTGAAAACTAAAAATAAAAAGCAAAGCTGAAACTTGTAGACCAAAAAATAAAAAAAGAAAAGAAAAAAAAGAAAAAAAGAAAAGAAAAGAAAAATAAATAAAAGATATATTAGATTACAAGAGGATGATTCAATTGGTGGCTGACCTCTCATCAGAAACTATGAAGTCCAGAAGACAGTGAAACATCTTTCACGTGCTGAAAGAAAAAAAAAATTATCATCCTGGAATTCTTATATGCCATAACTAGATAATTCAAGAATGAAGACAAATGAAGAGAATTCATTGATGTAACAGGCTTGCATCACAAGAAAGGTTAAAGGAAATTCAAGCCAAAGAGAAATGGCTTGAATTTCCACTTTGAAATCCAGTTTGAAATCCAGATCCTCAAGAATAAAATGCATCAACAATGATAAATATTTATGCCAATACAAAACCTTTTTTTCCTCTTAATTTTTATATAA